AATGTAGTAGAGGAGAAGCTGTGAGGCAAAGAATTGTTTAAGTGAGTAAGAATCTGTGCAGCAGGATTGGAACATCCAGTTCTTGCTAAAGTATAGCTCTCAACATGCCTTAGCCAATATAGCCAATGGTAAAGGAAGGTGATAGGTGAAATTTAGCAACAGCTGAAGGGACACAAGTTCCCCCTTTGCAACAGTATTTGGTACCATCTTACCCTAACAAATTAGAGGGGGAAAAAATCAGTGAAGAGTAGGAATAAAATAATGCAACATACTCACATTTCTTAAAGGGTGAGGTCCTATTCAAGGTTCAAATTAATCAGCAATAGTGGTCATCAAAATATTATGAGGTATAAGAAAGTCAATCAACCAATTGTCCTAGCTGGTGTTAAACACTTCAGGAGTATGAGAAGTCATTAAATATACTTACTTATTAAGAAGTCAGCTTAGTCCAGCCAATATCCATGCTTCCACTTGGATCATAGGGAAGGATTGCCCCAATGTTTAACCATATACTTCTGCATATTTTGTGACCCATTCAAACATTCCAGGAGCTCCCTTTTCTTTTTCTATGGTCCAGTGTCAGCTATAATTTACGAATAATAAATTTCCAAGAAATAAGAGCTGATAAACCTAAGCCTTTCTGTGGTCCTGTAATCAGTTGCTTTGTCTTTTTAAACTGGCATCACCGGATTTTCAGGTTCCCATGAAAAGGGCCTAATACAAAGCAAACATAGATTACCATTTCCCAGCATTTTTCTCATGTAAAGTTTTAATGCACGCCAATTACAAGGCATTACACAGCCAACAATAATTCCCAATAATTCTTTCCATTTGCCATGTGTCATATAATCCAGAATGATATTCCAGTGTCCACTACAGATGTTTGTTTCCAGCAGTATCTTTATTCAGTGATGTGTGAATAATTCACTCTGCATGCAACAGAACTTACTTTTGAGAAAGCACCCAAAGTTTTTAGAGCAACATGGGATCCTAGACCTTACGTTATACATCTTTGCTTTAAAGTCAGTTTAGCAGCAGTATAAATCTGGTCCACAAGTCCTCTATGTAAACACTTTGTGGCTTTATTCAACACATTCAGAAGCTAATTGAACATGCTTTAAGCAAAATACTGCGGTTGGTTAACTGCTTAATACTTTGCTTGTAAAAAAAGTTTCTTTAACAATTTAAAATTGAAATGTACTTGAGTAGTGTCTGAAAGGAAGTGTTCTGCTATTAATATTAAGAAAGAGGGAAATTATTCCACGTACTGTGCAAAGCTATTTTGTGAATTCTGTTTATATCCCAACAGCCTTTTATTCATTTCAAATATATAATTCTTCCTCTATTGCTATTCCAAGATGAAATTAACTTCACTTTTTAAGTACTTTTTCAGATTCAAATTCAGAAGAGAAATCCAATAAAAATTAAATAAAAAGTTGGTCCTCTATTTTTGTCCTGGAGGTATGACGTTTTGAAAGCTAGCTATTGTATGACGTGATTTTTTTTCTATGACTGAAATGCGGGTTGACTGGCAACAAATATGTTCTTTTTAAGCCATGTACATAAGAAACATCAACCACACTCCAGTACTTTCCAGTTCTCACCAGCAGTATAATTTTAGCAAGGCAACAAATATAAGAATTTACTGGTCTCATGAAGTAAAGTAAAAGCTATCATCGCTTGAATGCAGCTGAGTCTTTGAGAGGTAATATACTGCTGCTTTGTTATGCCCTGGGGACAAGTAAGGAGAGAAAGTGAAGTGCTTTGCTATGTATGCTTATGTCCTGGAAACTTTCCTGCTACAGAAATGCTGAAAAGAAAGAAAAAAAAAGACCCTCTCTTTAGGAAATAGCGTTGACAATTCTCGAGTCAAATTATTTACTGTTTTTAAGTGATATCATTTTGATTTCAAAGAACAATGCTTTATCTGTTAGGAGTCAACTCCAACCTTATCAATTCTGAGGGACTTTCATTTAGCTGTTCCTTACAGCTCAGCTGAAGACTTCCAAAACCCTTCTCTAAACAGCTGTGATTCATACTTGAATTTCAGCCTAGATCTAACCACAGGCCCCAAATTCCCCAAGGAAGTCTTGCATAAGCATTGTTCTCAATTAGTAGTGCAGAGATTTGAGAGAAAGCAAGAGGTCTTTGCTTTTGTTGGCAGTGAGACATTAAAAATAAGTGGTCAAGTCTCTTTCAGATGTCTGTGTGTAAATTTAAATCCCTCTTAATGGTAATGGGGGCTGCATATGTGTTCTGAGGAGAGAGTCTATATCCCCTAAGCAAGCAAAGTGGGCACAGCCAACAAAAATCAAACTTTGTTACATTTAGAACTGGCTAAATTAATAGTTTTTCAGGAATGATTTTATGGGTTAAGCAAATCTGTCCAACTGTGTTGGGATTTCATGTCCCAGTAGGACGTATGTTTTATTTACTAACTTTTCAACTTTTACATCTTTGAGAAGAAGAGGAAAAAAAGAAAGAAGTTTCCAAAAATACTGGAGTGGAAAGGAAACAGCTGTTTGCAGAGACGAGCTATTATGGTCAATGAAAGTTCTGAGTGGGCGTACAATGGGGAGGGTACATTTGGGTGGTGCTCCTAAGTTCTTCAGCTTAGCAAAAGTCATGGGCACCCATGAATTATGTCATTCTGGAGCTTTTTCACAGGCAGTTTTAACGTTCGGTCTTGATCATGAATCTTTCTGGCAAACAACAGTTGGATTTTTTAATGTCAGTACAACATGTTTCAATAGTATTTCTCAAGGGCAATGTGACAATGGAATCAAGACCCCATTCAGCAACTAAAAATGTACAAGCCACTAAATGCCAGTAGATGGAAACTAACCTTCTTTGACCTCATGCCTCATATGTGTTGGACTACAAATACCATCATGCTCCAATAGTTGTAGTCTCACAGAATACTGGGTTAGGTCAGTCTGCCTTATACAAATCTAAGCTGCAACTGATGGAGTAAGCAAATGACAGAAACACAAGCTCCTATTTTCTGCATGGATGGTGCAAATAATTCCAGAACTACAATAGGCTAATTCAAAGCAAATTCATTTTATTTCATTAATTGAATGTTATACATTTAGTATATGTGCTCAAATAAAGAAGTTTAAAAATATCTATGTGAAACCAACTTGGGTGGTACCTCTCTACCTAGTAGTTCCCATTGCTTCTTTACTCAGGTGTACCTACTTGGATTCAAGTGAGTCCCCCGCTATTCTTTACATGTTTCATCTGTCAGAACAACAGAAGCATGAGGAGAGTTGTGACTTTTAGTGGCAAAAGCATTATCCATTGTCAGGATCTGGATGTAGCAAATTCTTGCAGCAAAGATGGGAAGAATGAAAAGAGTCTTAGTTGTTATTGCACGGAACCAAAAAAAAAAAAAATACAAAGATGAAATTAAAAGCTGCATATGACAATACTTAGGTCAAGCCAGTGTTCCATGAGCTCTAGATTCCTTCTGAATACCCATAACAATTGGTCTTCAAACTAATAATTCTCAAGAAAAGCATGATTTCTACCAAGCACCAGTCTAAAGCACTATATCATGCAAAGAATCAGGCTTTAGAAAATCTTTATTTGTGGGTTCCTTCCATATGGCACAGTTTTCAATCCCAAAAGCATTTTGAAGTCAATCATGTGATTCTCTTTACTTCTGCCTGCTTCAGATTATTGAGAAAAGTCTGTGAACACCCTGAACCAATCCATAGTTTGGTTTAGCTTACTAATAAGGAAGTGCAGAAATCATCATTTAGCCAGTGCACTGTTTCCTGAGTTATGACAGCTTTGTGATAACAAAATTTCTTTTGCCTTCACTCTACATGAGGTGGGGCAGGGGATAAATTGTTTTTCTTTCTACATTATTCAATGCATGCTCTATTTATTTGTCTGGTCATGTTGCACACTGTTGATAAAGGGAAAATCAGTCTGAGCATCAAGTCACCATTCTATCTGGTGAGTTGTAAAGAAAAAGTAATGGCTTGCTTGAGCCCAGAGGCTAGGAGGTGAAATAAGGCAAGAATTTGGTGCATGTTGCTTATATAATTGGGAGAAAAAAATCAAACATAAGCTGATTAGAAACTGAGAACAAGGATTAACATTTGTTCTGCTGGTAAGGTTTCCTATGATAAGTTGCACATTTATGAATTCAGGCAGAGAGAAACAGGGTGAAGCAAGAATTCCTGTGAATGAGGGAAAAAAACTGTCCCCAAGCTCAGTATTTCAAATCACAGAACATAAGTTTTGCAATATTGGCTGTATTGAACTAAGCTGGGAGTGGGAACTAAGCTGGGAATGGGAAAGCTTAGTTCCCACCCTGCCAAGAAGGGTGACATTCTGAGACATTCACAGCACTATGGCAGCAATATACAGTAGGACAAATGCTTCAGATGGATTTCGGTCAAAGAATGGGATAAGCAAAGAAAACCAGAGGCATATCCTCAGCAATTTAAATAAAGGTTTGGGGTACTTCATTAATTTTAGATCTGTCACCAAAAAACCTGGACATTTAATGCAAAGGCATGAGCCATTAGAGAAGACACCAATGCTTGGAACAATTGAAGGCAATAAAAAAAGGAGGGGGTGACTATGGAAGGAAAGCCTTGCAATGGCCAGCATGAGCTTTTTCTTCCCTTTTGTTTTCTCTCCTGAGACTTTAAGGTAGCCTGAAGAAGCACGCCTGTTTTCCAATTATAAAAGGGAAATGTTGATAGCACCTGAGTATCAGTGTCTGCAAACCAATGCTTTACCAGCTGACAGCAATAGAAACCAGCTAACGTGAAGGTGGATAAATGGTGATAAAAGACTTTGTTATAAGCTCAGGCAACAAAGGAGAATAGAATTGTTTAAGAATTAATAAATGCATGGGCATAGAATTAGTGTAACTATAATATAGCATATATAATATAGTTTAGTGACAACTATTAAGGTAGAAGTTAGGAAATAAGTAAATTTATAATTTTTCTATATTATAATAGCCTCCATGGAAACACAAGGAAGATAACAGTATCTTTGCTGTTAGTATGTACCATTTCACAAAAGAAGTTCATCACACTGACCATAGCTAGATATTATCACTGATGTCACAAACATGAGCTTGCTAGGACTTGAAGGAGCAGTTATCAATACTCCTGCCAAAATGATGTCCAATGGGTCATGAAGAATCAGAATGACTGAACAACAAAAATACCCCCCTCCCCCAAAAAACCAGTCTTCTGAAGCAGGTCCTTGCAGATGGAAATACTCCTAATCTTCAAGCTCCTTTAAACTTTAAGAGGCAATAACACTTCAAAAATGGACTATTTTTTTTCTTGCAAAGGTTCTGGATTGGCTCACACAATGTTTCTTCTTGAGAACTTATTGGGTACCAGTTTTTCTATAGGCATTGTCTGCTGCTTTTCTGAGAGTAATTCTTTTCAGCTGTCTCAGTTTAAATCTTAATCAGTAAAAGAGAGGCATAAATGGTGACATGCATAAACGCTGTTCCTAACAATACATGAACTGCCTTTATATTGTATACACAATATGCAAGTCACAAATTAAAAATTAACAGAGGGACAGAACACCTGATCTCCTTTATAACAGTTTGTAAAATGTTCCAAACAACAAGCCAAGAATATTGAATTAATTCTGTGCTCAGAAGGTCCTTTATTCACCATATTTTTCTGCAACATCTTTCATAAATACTCATTTGGTTCCCCAGATGCCACAGCAGCTTTGAAAGGATGTTGATTTGAAATGCAGAAGCAGAAAGCAGGAAATAGAAAAAACACCCTTGTCTTCTCTCCTTCATGTCATTCCCTCCAAAGCTGTTCCTTTTTTCCTAAAAACAAAAATGTTGCCAGGGTTTTGTCATACATGCTTGCATGTGGCATCTTGTTCAACTTTTAACTCTCTGTACAACAGTTCAAGAAATAATGCCTTCTGTTGATTCCTTCTCCCCACCCCCATTTTCTTGTATTTTCATTTCATTTGGGGGTTTGCGACTATAAAGCTCAGAGGTTTTCTAAACAGAATCATAAATCAAAGAAAAAGCAGGATGTTCATCTGGGCCACATGTTGGGAAACATGCTTCCAATCCCACATGAAAGCTACACCAGCCAGATGTGAATGCAATTTTCTTAAAACTGTATCTGAAATAAGTCAGTCTTGGTAAGAAATCAAGGGACCCTAAAAAATGGCCATAGCCTCTCACATAGAGATCTTTGGAGAAAAGGTATATAAAAATTTACATGTTATTGATTTAAACAAAGTTCTTGTGCTAAAATGGATGCAAGCTATATTGGTTTCTAAGATTTTAGTCATGTAAAAACATTGTTTTGTGCAGGGCCTTATTACCTTCAGTCCAATAGCTACAAAACTTTGGCACATGCTTCAGATTTGGAAATATCCTGATTTTCAAACCAAATCAAGCTGATCTAGACAGGTTCAAAAGAAATTCAAATTGACGTATCCAAGTTTGAATGCTATCTAGATTTTTCATTAGTGATTGGAACGTTCATAAGGACATTGGCAAAAGATTTACAAAAATTTATTTCTCCCCAAACTCTTCATATAAAGGAAACAAGAAGAAAGGTTTTTGGTTGGGTTTTTTTTTTTGCTTTGTTTTGTTTTTTGTGTTTCTTTTT